AGTAATTCCTATAACGTGCAAGTCAAATCATGGGTAACAACAATTTAAAGGGGTGTGTATATATATACCTATATATATATATATAGGTGTGTATATATATATATAAAGGTGTATATATATTTTTATATATATATATAAAAATGGCCAGGTTATAGGGTTTAACATTGCAATGAACTCCTCTCCTTGGTCCTAGCCTGGCTAGCAACAAGGGGTTCCTGCTATAGTAATTCCCATAACATGCAACTCAAATCCCAGGTTACAACATTTTAAAGGTATTTCTGTTACAATCTCCATCCCGGTCCCTTTGGGCCAGGTTATAGGGTTTAACATTGCAATGAACTCCTCTCCTTGGTCCTAGCCTGGCTAGCAACAAGGGGTTCCTGCTATAGTAATTCCCATAACATGCAACTCAAATCCCAGGTTACAACATTTTAAAGGTATTTCTGTTACAATCTCCATCCCGGTCCCTTTGGGCCAGGTTATAGGGTTTAACATTGCAATGAACTCCTCTCCTTGGTCCTAGCCTGGCTAGCAACAAGGGGTTCCTGCTATAGTAATTCCCATAACATGCAACTCAAATCCCAGGTTACAACATTTTAAAGGTATTTCTGTTACAATCTCCATCCCGGTCCCTTTGGGCCAGGTTATAGGGTTTAACATTGCAATGAACTCCTCTCCTTGGTCCTAGCCTGGCTAGCAACAAGGGGTTCCTGCTATAGTAATTCCCATAACATGCAACTCAAATCCCAGGTTACAACATTTTAAAGGTATTTCTGTTACAATCTCCATCCCGGTCCCTTTGGGCCAGGTTATAGGGTTTAACATTGCAATGAACTCCTCTCCTTGGTCCTAGCCTGGCTAGCAACAAGGGGTTCCTGCTATAGTAATTCCCATAACATGCAACTCAAATCCCAGGTTACAACATTTTAAAGGTATTTCTGTTACAATCTCCATCCCGGTCCCTTTGGGCCAGGTTATAGGGTTTAACATTGCAATGAACTCCTCTCCTTGGTCCTAGCCTGGCTAGCAACAAGGGGTTCCTGCTATAGTAATTCCCATAACATGCAACTCAAATCCCAGGTTACAACATTTTAAAGGTATTTCTGTTACAATCTCCATCCCGGTCCCTTTGGGCCAGGTTATAGGGTTTAACATTGCAATGAACTCCTCTCCTTGGTCCTAGCCTGGCTAGCAACAAGGGGTTCCTGCTATAGTAATTCCCATAACATGCAACTCAAATCCCAGGTTACAACATTTTAAAGGTATTTCTGTTACAATCTCCATCCCGGTCCCTTTGGGCCAGGTTATAGGGTTTAACATTGCAATGAACTCCTCTCCTTGGTCCTAGCCTGGCTAGCAACAAGGGGTTCCTGCTATAGTAATTCCCATAACATGCAACTCAAATCCCAGGTTACAACATTTTAAAGGTACCAGCTGTGTCCCCTCCCAACTTCTTGTGCCCCCCCAGCCTCCTCGCTGGTGGGGTGGTGTGAGGAGCAGAAAAGGCCTTGACTCTGTGTAAGCACTGCTCAGCAGTAACTAAAACATCCCTGTGTTATCAACAGTGTTTTCAGCACAAATCCAAAACATAGCCCCATTGTAGCTACTCTGAAGAAAATTAACTCTATCCCAGCCAAAACCAGCACATGACCCTAGATTATTGCAGAGAACTTTTATTCTAAGTGTGGATTGTCATTAATATAAACAGATAGATAAATATTTTGGCATAATCTGAATAAGTATGGTTAGTTTAAAAGGTACCATGAAGTTGTTCATATAGGTATACTTTTTGTTAGTGACCAACGAAACTGTTCTTGAAAAATATGATTTAATGTTTATCCATCATAAGTTAACTAAACCCCCCCAAAATAGTACATAAATAAATAAGCAAGAAATTACCAGGACAATGAACAATTAGTCCTGTGGTTGAACATAGAAATAGATGTAAATTTAAATGTAGAAAACTTTGGTTCAATAGGGTCACCTTGCCCCAGTTATTTTGTCATAAAATGAAATTTATAATTGCTGTAGATTTGTCTTCAAGAAATCTTGTCTTAGGGGAAGTAACCAGTGCTGAGGTAGCTGCCTTCCACTTGTCTTATTAACCCTGGGATTATAAGAGTAGGTTGGCATAGGGAGTGATAAAGACTCTGTGTCTCTTTCCTTACGTAGAGCTTCCTTTTGTGATATTAATCTATACTAAGCCTAGAAAACCAAGGGGAGCCATGACCTGTCAGTCATTTCTGTCCTTGGCACCTGATGATTAAGCATAGCGGAGAAGCAAGTCCGGAGCTTGCTACAGGAAATGGCAGGCAGTAAGGCAGAAGACATTGTTCTATGTTAAATCACAGATAAAGATGGGAATGATTCCAGTGCCCTTTGTCTATAGGTGTGCATGCAACCCTGTAATTGAAAAGGTGTCTGCAAGCTTCATCTAAGCCCTTAATATTACAATCTGATTTTCGGGAAACTTTCTTCCTGTAGTAGATACCAATGACTTTTGTTGTTGACTTTACAATCTTTTATAGTATATTGAAAAGGTAAAACATGCGTTTTCTACAGTCTACATTTTTAAACCAGAAGTTAAATGTGTTGGGATACTTTGTTGTCGCATGTTGTCTGTAATATTCAGCTTTTCAGTAAATGTTTTTCACTAATTTGACACAGTGGTGTGATCTGCTGCTGATTTCCCTGTGAAGGACAGCTTTCCCCATGTTGCTTGTTTAAGATTACTCGTCACAGCTAAATGAGTGACTATAGAATGACCCTCTAATTTGGGTGCAAAAAGAACAACAGTATCTTTGAATTTCGAAGGTACCAATGTGGAAATTTGACTAAACGAACTTCTTACAGGCCAGGGAATAAAAAGAATATAAATTCCTGCAGATTTGCAGTCTCTGTAGTTCAAAAAATAAGAAAAGGAACAGAAGTTGAAGACTTTTGACTGGAGCCTGACCTAAATGTTACTGACTTTCTGAATATCAAAGGTGCTTAAAAGTATTTTGTACTTTCTTTATATGTTATGAAAAAAATATATATTATCCCTGAGAGCTTCTGTTAATACTGAGTTATACAGTCCTGAAGATTTCCTTCAAGTGTTTTTGCCAGTATTAACTAAAACAAATCTCACACATATAGCATTACCGTGGCGATATACATAGATGGAAGTTATCAAAAAATGTGTCAGCAGAGATTGTTCTGGTTTGAAATCATCCAAGCTTGGGTGCAGTGCAGATGGACAGCCCGCCTGATTTCTAAACGGTTAACTTGGCATTCCCGAGCGCTGGCTGTTTACCCTGCCCACCCAAACAGCACCTAGTCACTGGGTGTGGCAAAAGCCTTTGATAAGTACCTGTGTACAGTTCACAGAAATAGCTGTGCAGAGTCAGGACAGTAGTAATATGAAACCAGTCTTGTTGGTTTTTGTTCATGGCCCTGGAGGCTGAAATCTGCATTCCAGATGAAACCTGCAGCAAAGCTGAAGA